ATTCCTATAAGACTCTGTGCCTCATTCCAAAATGATATACGACGACTTACGAGAAAGCGAAGACGTATTTTGAAGAAATTCATACGAGAAGAATTGAATCGATCGATATGTAAAATTGTATGTATACACACACTCGCGTGCATTCCCCCGTGCTTATAATTATAAACTTAAGGTGATTAAATTCATAAGAAATTGGTATTCTCTTGCCTTCTGTATATTCGACAAAAAAGGAAAAGAGAGAGAGAGAGAGAGAGAGAAATAATATAAATCTCAAATTATGCCTTAAATTTACGCGTTTTACGACCTCTACAGCCAATTAAGTACTGCAAAACATAATAGAGAATGAAATTATCAGAAATGCAAAATTTCAGTCGCTCCAAATCATTCGCAATAAAATTGTTGCTTCGTTGTTATTATAAACAACTCCTTCTCACATTATTACTATAATAAATAAACAAGCAAATTAATATAAATAATATTCAAATGAATTGGCATAATCAACGGCTGCGAAGGCATACGCGTTATATTATTACATTTATGATACAATTATTGCCATTATTAATCAGTCGATATTATTACAAAAGATACATGCTAAGCTGAATATTATTAGATAATTATGCATTTCATAGAGTTATGAAGAAATTTATCAAAAATGTATGTCATAGCATTGTACTATACTACCAATCAATACTTAAGATATTGCTTAAGATGATACTTAAGATGAAGAGAAGAAGAGATAAGAAGAGAGGAAACAGCGAAAGAAAACTTAAACGATGTACTTGAACGGAATAAGTAAGTATTTCTCACGGATACGATGATTTCGTGGGCTAATTTAACACAAACAAATTCTAATCTCGCTAGTTTAAAATATAATAATAACTAATAATAACTAATAATAACTAATAATATCCGATGACAAACAATACAAACAATTGGATTGTGGAGAATATATTTTGTTGCTGACGAGCAAAGAATGGTCGGTGTAAATCGAATTTGAATTTAAATAATTTCCTCGCCTTGAAGAAATTGTTATGCATTCTCATTTGGCTAAGAAATATAAATGACAGCGATTCAAAACAATTTTCAAAACATGAATATTATCACACCCTAGGAAACGATTAATCGCTTCAATCAACTACCAATCAAATTAATCTCTTATGTAAAAGTTCGAAAAAAAAATATTTAATTAGGGCCATTTTTCGAAAATTCTTTGAATCCTATTGCCTCGAGTAAATATGAAAAATAAATTACATTTATAAATAAGCATTCGCAATTAAAAATTTAATACCCTACAAAATTGTAATTGCTGCTAATTATTTCCGTTATTTATAAAGATAATTCTTTTTTTTTCTTTTTTTTCTTTTTTTTTTCCGTTTTAACAGTCGTCCAACCACGCATAAAATATTTCTTTCCTGTTCTAAAAATATTACTCAATCTTATAAATGTCCGAATGAACTACGAACAAAATTATAGTTCGTTTTAACGTTTATTTTATGTATTAAATGGCTCTTTTCATAAAATAATTCTATTGGTTAATTTACAATGTTTCTAACAAAATACGGAATTACCGGTATAATATTACGGCCATCTACTTTTCAACAAATTCAAATAAATACTAAACTAAAACTAAATTTAATGAGTTTAATCGATTAATTGCACGGTATTGTTGCAATAAATCATATAAATGAGAAGAAAGAAACATCTCAATAATAATTTTAATAATCGTAATAATCTCATACGAATTTCGCCCATTAGGTTATCATTCAATTTAAAAATTCTTTTTATGTACAATGTCGTAACATTATAATTATCATCTGCTGATGTTTATATGTTTTTCAATTTTATCTAACATTTAGACATAATGATACGTAATCATTAGAATAAGGTATAAATAGCCTAGATAATTATAATGAATAAAGTTTACTTTTAAGATTCGGTTAACGGTGAAGCTAAATAATGTTAAAAACATTATTATTATCTGTTGTCGTAGGATACATTTTCTTTCAATTGAAATCGGTCTAAGTTTAAGGTTTAAGTAATTGAAGATTAAAGTTTAGAGTAAATAATAATCATTTTAAGAGCTTCGTAAGAATTCAGTAAATGTAAATGTACGTTTAAAAAAAAAAAAAAAAAAAAAAAAACTTTGTACTTACTTTGTACAAACAAAATTAATAAGATGAAAATATTCAATTTTTTAACCTACATTTTATCATGAATAAATTGGTCGTTATACTTTAATAAATTTATAATATTTTGTTTCATACAAATTTTTCTGTTTTAATTAGCATATGAGTCATAAATTTCAAAGTATGTTTTACCAAATGTGTATCAGGAAACACATTATTCTTAGAAATTAAAAAATTTTATCTTTACAACAGTTCATTGAGCATACGAACAATGTTGATTAATATATTAATTACTATAATAACATTTTTTATTATTTTTTTTTTTTTTTTTACAAAATAAATGCATAACCGTAATGAATGAAAAATTAAATAAAATAATAAACACGTGTCTTATTAGCATGTATAATGAATCTATAAATAAAAAGTAGCTTAAAATACATTTAAAGTTGATGTTTTATTATTTATATATATAAATCATATTATTTATGTATAATCATAATAGATCTTTAAGATATATGAAATATATTTGTACACTAAAGCAATATTTATGTTTATTGTAGTACTATTGTATTATATTTTATTATACTATTGTAATAATATCAATTTACAATTTCGTTTATCAAAATGTTAAAGAAATTAAAATATTTTACAGTAATATTTTTATTGTCTTATAAGAGAGCTCGATTGAAGCAACTTTTCGTTTAGAAATTAATTTTATTGCTTCTTTAGATGACTCAAACCTATTACGTTCAATAAAGTTCAATTTACTTTAATAAATCAGGAATGTAAGAACAACAAAGAGCAAATGTTTTTATATAGGCTTTTAACCATAGAAAATAATATATATATATATATATATATATATATATTTTTTTTTTTTTTTTTTTTTTTTTTTTTTTTTAAACCAAATTAATGATAAATTTTTTCGAGCTGGAAATTATTGTGTTTATTCCCTGTAACGGCAATTCCTTCGAAGCTTACAGACCTAAATTATTGTAATATTTACATAATATACTTCAAGGTCGAGTAAAATTAATTCTTACTGTTTATTTTTCATCAAAGAATATTGTTTAACGTAATATTGTTTTACAAAATAAACATTATATATTACATTTTCGTATAAACAGCAGAGTAGCATTAAAATATTAACTATTTTAGTTGTAACATAACAAATACATAATAGATATTCAAAATAAATGTTTTATTGAATTACTAATCAAGTATATTATATTATAATATTATAATATATAGTATAATATAAAATATTATATATTCTTTGGTATATTTTATACAAAATATGTGCAGCATTCATAAATATTTTTCTCCGATTAATATTGAAAGTAGTTTTTATCAAAACAAAAGTAGACTTACGAAATATTTAGCTCTTCATTTTTATCGAATAAACTTTCAATGATTAAATGTAGTAATCCTCGTAAGTTTGGTGTATCGCAGGATTTTAATTTCAACGAATGTTCAGTGCTCGTTTATGCGTACAATGCATAACAACAAACAATGCCACACATCGAAAGCAGATTTAAGGCTTTGGATTTTTTCACTCTATACAAGAAGATAGTTTTGTACAATCTATGCAGTCAATTTATTAATACATCTTTTACGCAGGTAAACGCGTTGAAATTATGCATTAGTCAATAAATTTAATATTAAACTTGATGATTTCTTTATTATTATTATTATTGTTGTTGTTGTTGCTGCTGCTGCTGTTGTTGTTGTTGTTGTTGTTGTTGTTGTTGTTGTTGTTATTACGTTACCTCGCTTCAAATCTTTTTATTTTGTTTCTAAAACACGTTCATCATACTTTTTATCGAATTTATTAAATGAATTATTTATTTAGAGACATCATAAACAGATTTTAAAAAAAAAAAAGTTATATTCGTGCACAAGCATTCAAGAAGTTTATAATTGCATGTGTATACGTATATGTGGACGTAATCATTGAAAGCTTCATTACTATTAATTTTACTGTACCTATAAACAAAAATTATAATAAATTGAAATTTATTTATGAGCTAACTAGTTGTCTATTATAAGAATTTTGAGCGTTACTAATTATAAAATACTGCTTTATAAATTATAATGATACTATTGAGTTTTCTCTGTGACAATTGATTGTACAAAGTTAAAAAAAAAAGAGCTAATAACCGTCATAGTTTTTTGCAGATATGCAAAAAATTTTGTACAATATTATATATTATAATTACTAAAATTAATATTACAATAAATATTAAAACTGTCGAATAATTAATATTGATCGCAAAATCCGAAAATTAAATAGAACAAGTGAATGAACGAGGTTTTTTTTTGTTTCTTTTTTTTTTTTCGAAAAAATTATATAAATTAATAAATTAAGCTTGTAAAAATAAGCAATATGAACTGGATGCTGGATATCGTAATTAAAATGACATTATAATGGAAGGTGAATTAGAGGAGGAGATCCATTAGTTTTTTACATTTGGTCTAAATAATATAATAAAAGAGAGTGTTAGAGTAACAATTAAAATTGTATTATATCCAAAGATTAATTATAAACTTTGGTCTTTAATTAATTATGCGCATAATAATGAAGGTCGCGAAGAAGATAAAAAGAAAATAATTCAAATTTCAATTTATAGGGAAAGCGTATAGATAAAAAAAAAAAATAAATAAATAAATAAATAAAATGACGAAATTATTACGTATGCGAAGAGATAGTGAATAAGTTATACCGAATTATTATTATTAATAAAGAATGATGGAAGTACGTTGTGACGGGCAAGCCTAAGAGCTATTAAATTTTTTTTTTTTCGTTTTTCCTTGTGTTTGTCAACAAAATGATTAAAAAATTTGGTCCATTAATATTAATCGTTATATTACTTTCTAAACCCATCTCTCTTCTTTTATTATGTGCTCAATTAATGTAATTATTCTTCTTGGATTTAAACAAAGGACACTTAAGGTTTAGTTTAATTGAAAAGTTAATTCACTCGATCAATAATTAAATTTGCACATTATAAATTCGCCAATACGTACACGATCGGATTTTCTTAACATCTTGCCCGTTAATCCCGTAAAATGAAAAAATTGTATTATCCATCCTTGTCCGATCGCGTCAAAATTCCATTCGCTTTTTCTCGCTCGTAGGGCAAATTAAGCCATTTAAATCGCCTCGATTTTATCGCTATAAATTATTATAAATATAAATAAATAAATAAATAAATAAATAAATAAATAAATAAATATATATGTGTTGAATGCATGTACAACTCGGGGAGTTCAATCATCGTCGATCGACTTGCATTTCTTCCACTCCGTCATGCCTATTTTTACTTTGATCGGGATAGCGCGTCTCAATAAAAGGAAACGATCATCTAATCATCAAACACTAATAGTAATCAAGACCGACGCTTATGAATTAATTAAACCAACTAAGTATCATTACATGTTGAAATAATCAAAGGACAAGGCGACGTCGTACTATATAATTGAATACGAATGATCGTGTAATCGCAACGACCGTTACATTCTAAATATTGCTCGATGTAACAATATGTGCATGCGACGACTTAATAATGCTGTTGAACAAGATGTTGATAGTTGGAGGACGTGGGATGCGTCTATCGTTACAGGCACGACGTACTATGCGTGTAAACATGCCGGTCGCTCATCGATCCATTTCTTTCCAACGACATGGAGGCAGGTGGGGTAAATTGTACACAACGCCAGGTGTTATAGAGGAAGGTACATTAGCTCCCTCCGCACAATGGCATAATATCAAATTACTTTTATGAGATATATGTGCTTTGTATTTCAGTCTCGAAACTTGTTCACGATTATGTCAATAAATAGGTTAGATATTGCTTTCCTTTCCAGCTTTGTCGATAAGAATTTTCACTGACCGCATATAATAATAATACTTGGGCGTCATAATGATCTGTTTGGATTGCATTAGACTTACGAACAGATTAACATACACTTACGTTTATTAAATATGTATTATTTATTTCGTTGAAGATAAGGTTAGTACGCGAATTAACCAATGTCGTTTATAAGTGCTTATTCTTTATACTATTTACTCTTATTCTCATCCCATGTATGTCAATTTATAAAATATTATTTTATTATCGTTTGTATACAGATTATATATAAATTGAGTCAACGATGGCATTTTCATTCAGAGCTGGCACAAATTGGTGCCACGACTTCCCTAAGCTCGCTCGTGAATCTGGCTTTTATTTTAATATGCATGCAACTAGAGTGCGAGTTGATTGGAATCGCATAAGTAAATATTATCACTATTTAGAGCATTATATTGAAGAGAGAGAGAGAGAGAGAGAGAGAGAGAGAGAGAGAGAGAATTTAACATCAATTCTGTGATAAAATCTTTAAATATTTATTTTTATAAATCAAATAATTGCTTAAAAGATTTGACAGTTTATACTTTTTCTTTATATATATATATATATAAAGTTTAATCATTTGATTATTTTTTGACAAATTATACATTTAACTGATTTAATTATGTATCCATTAGTATTTTCGTTAAGTTAAAATGTTATCTTCTTGATAATTATAAGTATATAAGATTATTATATTTTTTTTTAGGTTCTATTGATATAGATCGAGTAATAAGAGAAAGAGATTTTCAAATTGTCGATGAAAATGTCAACAATGTCATTGATTATTACTTGGAAAGCGAATATGACGTTAAGATTTTGGATCCAAATTTTGTTAAATTATTTCGCTTAGCGCAATTGGCTGTTGAATATTTATTATATTGCAAACAATATTTAGATCAAAGTGTTGTTATTTTAAAAGAAGAACTCAAATACAAAATTGAAGAGAACATTAAAATGAAAGAAGAAGTCATGAAATTACAAAATTCAATTAGGGACATTAAAGAGAAACTTAAAGAAAAAAATAAATGTATAGAAACAAAGTCCGACATACGTGGAGAAATTCATAAAGTAAATACTCTTTATTTAATAGACATAATTTAACTTTAGGTAATTAACTTATCGATAAAAGAACATTAAATGCATGCATAATTTGTTACTTCTTCCATCATCTTAATATAATATGAATAATTTTTTTCATTATTTAATAGCTTAAATCAATGATTTATTTAATTAAAATGAAAATGGCATCTATTATGTATTTACACTATTATTATTTATTAATTGATAATAAGCATTAACATGATTATACATTAATTATCTTAAAGTGCCCGACTGTATTGGTTTAGTAGATCACTTGAGTCAATTTCTTAAATTATTCGGATTTTTCTACTTTCCGCCTGATTTTTTTTTAAACTTTTTGCAAATTTTTTTTTCATATTTCATTGGATTTGTGAATATTAAAGAAAATAAAGCTCCGCTTTATATATACAATTCATCCGACTTATAGTTTTACATGAAAATTAAGAAAACGAATGCTTCATTTTCTCGTAGTGCCCATATTGTCCAAAGACATTCATATCAGCGTCATTTGCAAATGCTCATTTAATTCGACGACACTCTAATATTTCCGAGGCACTGTCTAGCTCATCACCAGTAAACGATGAATACAGAGCCGAGACTGAAAAATTGCATAACGAAATAAAAACTTTGAAAGAACGACTGAATCAAACCGAGCGAGTTATTAGAAATGAATCTAACAAGCTGACTTTACAAAATGAAATATCAAACAAAGAAAAGGGAACGGATTTAATGAACGACGGTGTTTCCTTACAAGGGGAGCAGTATAGAAGATACCAAGATGAAATGAGTGATTTGAAAACCATGCTGTTTACGGAAATTAGAGTGAGAGTTATTTAGTAAAAGTTCTATTAATAATATGTTAAAAAGTTATAAAAATTGTTTATTTTCAATCTGTTCGAATGCAATAGTTGTTCATTATTAAAAAAAAAAAAAAAAAAAAAAAAGTATTCATCATCTTTCATTAATTAATTTTTGCTAAACTAATATTATAAATAAATAAATATAAATAAATATAAATAAACAATACATTGAATTTAATCTTTGGTTGTTGTAAAAATTGTTTTTTTTTTTTTTGTTGTTTTTGTTTGTTATAAAAGCATGAAATATTTGGAACTTGAGTAAATCAAATTTAATATTATATTTTGGCCCTTTTACTAATTCAATGTAAACAATTGATACTTTTATTAAATCATTGTATTGTTCAAATGCAAAATTTTATCAACATCATTTACATAATTATATCTAATTATACTAATATTTAATTACTAATAATTAAAAAAAAAAAAAAAAAAAATTGAAAAAAATTACAATCAATTTTAAAAACAATTTCTATTTTTTATATTTTAAAGGCATTTAATACATTACTTCTTTTTATTTTTTGTTTTTATCAACAATTTTTTGTTAATTATTGATTTAAACGCGTGAAATAAATTGCATGTTTTCTATAAAAATAATCTGAATTATATACCGAAATATATCTAATATTATGCAAATCTTGATTTATTTTGTTTTTTAACTTAATTAGAATATTAAAAAGAAAGAAAACAACTCAAATCAGCATGAGAATGCGACGAATCACGAAGGGATTAAAGAATTGGCCAATCAACAAGAAAGTGAAATTCAAAGATTAAAAAATCAATTACAAGAACATGTAAGCTTTATTTTTCAATTTAAACAATTAATTCCCATTAGCATAAATTTTGATGTGATAGATGGTAAAATATAATTTTAATTGGTTCTGAAGCTAACATCGAATAAAAATGAAGTTGAGGTGAAGCTATCGAAGCAAGAAGAATATTGGAAGTCGAAAATTGAGCATCTTGAAAGCCAACATCGCAGCGACATTGAAAATCTATTTGGTCAAATGAAAGTAACGCAAGAATCTGCAATGAATATGAAAGCCGAGTACGAAGGAAAAGTTTCATTTTTGGAACAACAATCCATCGATCAATCGAAATTACTTACTGCTCAAAGCGAGCAACTTAAAAGTCTTACGAAAGATATACAAGGCGCTCAGAGCATAAAATCTACGGAAAATGATATCGAAATTAAAAAATTCGACAATCAACGTACGGAATGTATAAATGAAAGTGCCGTCGATAAAAACAAAGCAACATTGAAATATAAAAAGATCAAAGATAATACTAAACAACCCACTAATAATCTCAAATTCAACGAAAGCTATTATAGACTGTTGAGGAATAAAAAAGGTGAGGCATCGCCCAGAATGAAGAGTCACAACAAGTTATCTGGAGAATATCATTCTTTAAATCAGAAAGACAAGAAGCCCGAAAGGGGTTCGCTTTGCAAAATTATGACAAAAGCCGGCATGCGATATTCCTCTTTAAATGAGTCAGAATCAAGTGAAAGCAGCACCGATATAGAATCGGAATTTGAGTTTGAAGAAGAAACGGACGGAGACACGAGCTATGATGTAACACACACCAGTAGCACCAACGATGAAATGCAAAAAGAAATGGGAAATAAAATTATTCAGGTAGTCTTTTTATCCTATATATATATATATATATATATATATAAATATATGATATATAATTGATAAATCTTGGTAAATATTTTTAAATTTCGAAAAACTGCAAAATCTTATGAACTTGAAATTACAGCGAACCAGCCCCCGTCTCTCGTTAAAAACGAATACATCTTCGGTATCAGTTGAGATAATCAAAGGAGAATTGCAAGACGCTTTTGAAAGTAAATTAAAGAATTTAGGAATCGATCCGGAATGGAGTACAATACCAATAGCTACATTTAATGAAAAAATGGAGAGCATTAAGCATCAGCAAAATATTTTATCTAAAGTAAGTGAACCTCGTATTTGATAGATTTTTTTTTATTATTATGATAAAAACACGAATTTCAACGAATTTCAAGCCATTAAACATTTTAAGCAAAGCGAACTTTATTACCACGTATTTTCAGAAACATCCGAAATATGAACAGATACGTCGAAAATTACTCGAAGAAATCATTAGAAGAATAAACGTGAGTGAAAAATGTCCTAAGAGATTCGAATTAGAAAAAAAATCATTTTTAAATAAAACGATGAAAAATGTCAAGTCAAAGGCATTGAAAGCATTTCATGACTTTAAAGTACAAAAAAGCAATGGTAAGAGAATTGTAATAATAATAAAAAATTGTTTTTTTATTTTTAAATACGAAGTATAAAGTAAATTAATAAGGACTCGATGAAGAAACGGAGAGTAAACGAAGTAAATTTTGAAGAAAAGAAAAGAAAAAAGGGTATAAATCAATATGCATTTTCTAAAAGAGAAATTATTATTAACACTTGTCGTTGATATAAAAATGATCATTATTTAATTTAAAATGTATATTCATTGATTTATATTAATTCAAAATGATTTGATTAATTTATCATAGATCTTTGATTTGAATACATTACGAGTACCATTACAATCATATTATCCTTTCTTATAACAATGATATAATTATTAGATACTTCGACGTCGGTCGTGAGCTCAAAAAATTCAACACCCAGAGAGTCTCAAACAATGCATAAGTTAAGCCTTGAGCTTTTACCAAATAAACCGACTCAACTGGATATCCAAGAAATGAAACGACAAATTAAATCTGAATCGGATAAAAAGCAAAAAAGATACGAACCAGTGACGAGATCAAAAAAATCCAATTTTCATAATAAAACAAAGATGAACGAAACAGTGGTAGAACCAGTCCTGGAACCATCCAAGTACATAAAAAAGCTACATCGTTCTTATCAAAGTATCGAAGAGTTCCTAAAAGATATTAAAGAATCTCCAAAATTAGATATGCCAAATACAAAAGTGGCTTTATCTCCTTCGTCAACTATAAAGTCGATACTCGAGGATTCGAGTCCTGGAGTTAATGAGAGCGAGACAACGAAACCCGATACCACGTGGGCTCCGGCATCACCAAAAAATAATAAAAGCGTTCTTAAGTCAACGAGTGGATCAATGGGAAACATAGTGAAAAAGAAAGTTCTTTTTGATTTAGAAAAAGATAGCACCTCCGAAAAAAAGTGTACTTCAACAAAATCCATCGGCGAAATTATTGAAAAGGAATACAATGAAATTAAAGAATTTAATGATATTGGCTGGGATTTTCCAAGGTCAGACTTAGAATAATTGATTAATCTTCTATATGATTTACAAAAATCAAACGAGCATTGAATAAAATTATATTACAATGTTTCATTTATGTTTTGTGAAACCTTTAGTATCGTGGAAGAGCAAGAGCGAGTAACTCGGAAGAAAAGTTCGAGTACCGAGAATATTCAATTAAAAACTTCGCAAAGTGAAAAAATTGCTGAAATTTCGAGAAAAATTCAAGAGAAGGTCTAAAGCATATACCATTCAAATAAATCAATCGATCGAGACGTCGTCAACGTGATATAACAAAATTTCAACCAATCAATTTTCTTACTTTCAGCTCGAAACTGCACGTCGCAAACCACTTGGATCGATAGAGGCTATGTTTTCATCTAAGACACTATCAGCTGATAATGATATAATTGAAATGACCCACAGTAAACAGAGTTCAATGGACATGATGAATTCCATATTGGATTATTCAACTAGTCAAGTTGATATCAAAGCTCAAAGTAATGCTAGTCAAGTGCCTCCTCGACCTGCACCTCGCAGGCAATTATTCGAAACCAAAGATATTGATTTGAACACAAATATAAATGATTTATTACCAATTGATTGATACAAGGTTTCCTATGAAAGACAATTTAGTTTAATTATACCATATGTTATTTTATGTTAAATATACATACGTTCATTGTAAAAAAAAAAAAAAAAAAAAAAAAAAAAAAAAAAAAAAAAAAATGAAAGGAAAGACCAAATATTTCAATGAAAACTACAAGGATTTTTCATTTTTTTATTTTAATATAATATTTGAGATTTTTTAATTAAAAATATATTCTTATAATAATAGTGCATAATATAAGTTATATAATATATTAATTACAGAGTATAAAAATGGTATAAATAAACATTCAAATGTCTATACGCATGAATACGTATAAATTTATTTATTTATTTATTTTTTTTTTTTTATTTCTGTTATCATTAAATAATGTCCGCTCATAATTTATGTATAATATAACGTTGCCATGTGTTAACCGTCCAAAGCAATTGCGTATATTATAAATATATGTAATGCGTAAATAAATAATTTGTTACATATATATAATTATTATTAAAACATAAGTTTTACATATAATTTAAAATTTAAAATAAAGTTGAATTTTTATTAAAATTAATCTATTGATTTATTTGTGCGTTATATTAAAAAGTATTTAATCATAAACAACGAAGTTAATAATAAATTAGAGTATACGAAAACTTACAATGCATAGATTTGCTAAAAAAAAATTTATGATAACGAAATATCTTCCAAATTATCATTATTATAAACTAATTTTAAACGTTTTAATCCTTGCCTTTATCTTTTAAAATTAAAGTAATGTTTATTTTAATAATGTAAATTAATAATTCGCCAATTTTCAACAAATGTTATAATAGCTTTATCAAATAATTTATTTTTAATTCATTACGCGATATAAAGTAATTGAAGTGAAAAATATTTTATTTTATTTATAAAAATAATCAACGTAATAAGATTTTTATCTATTTGTTATTATTCTTTATATATAATAAAGTAATTTGAATTAATTTTGCATAAAATAAGTATTGACATAATCCTTGCACAGTCCTAAATTAGCTAAATAAGAAATTATTTTAATAAATTTTATCAAATACATATAAACTTAGAGAATTAATAAAAAATATTAAATAGTAATAATTATGTTATTAAACGAGTGATTATGAAGTTTGCGTGTTGCAGGGCAAGATCAATCGATTGTATTATTCAATTCAATGATTGGAGAATTCAAGGTTCGTCGTTCATTTAGATGATATTACTTACGACGAGTTAAGAAATATATATATATATATATATATATATATATTTTTTTTTTTAAATAATGATAGCGAAAACGGGGATATCGTAAAATACTTAAAGACGACCTGAAATTGCAAACTCAAAGACAATATAAGAAAATACGAGATCCATGATAACTAATCAATAATCATAAGCTTATGTATGTGAAGTGATTAGTTAGTTATCAGATTTTCATTTGTCAATGAATGTTTCACTTTAGAAATTCGTTTAGAAATCCTTTAAAACAACCACTCCATTGCCAATAATCTAATATACTAACTTCTACAAATTAGTATAAGTTACTCGATGCTCGGTAATCACCAAAACATATATAATAATTAATTTCCGCTTTAAATGTTGAAAAAAAAATTTACATTTTGCTTACACTTGAATTTTTATATTAAAACACATTATAAAAGTGAAATGAATATTAAATTAATTAAATAACAAAATATCTCCTAAAGTCTTACGGTTAAAGTATTATATTAGAAAATTTGTTTCTTCTTCTATCTATGCTTCATTCACATAATAATTATAAACGTGTAGTTATTCTGCATTTTACATTCAATTCGTATGTATTATTATTATTATTTTATTGTCTTATTCTCATACTGCCAATGTAATATTGGTTTTAAATCTTTTCTTTTCATCTTGTTTTATCATACTTTTAATACATGCATCTACGTATTCTTGCTTTATCACGAAGTTATTATTATTAATGCACGTATGCATTTTTCTAAATAAATAATCATAATTTTCAGTAAACGAATAATGATAGATCAACTTTTCGATTTTCTACGTAATGAGAGATAATATCATCTAATTTTCTTATCCTCTGTTGACATTTTAATTGTAGAGTATATTGTTCGAATGATAGGAAAAATATGCTTATTAATATGTTTAAACAAAACCATATATGATTTGAAGCCATTAAAATTTGAAATAAGTTTAGTATTGTTATTTATTTTATTATTATTATTTTATTTTTTTCTTTTGCTAACTAGAATTAAATATTACGTACCTGTGATGAATAAATAAATGATTACGTATTTTATTGTAATGTAATATATATTTTTAATAACATTACATTAATACGACAATGTTGCACATTATTTGCGAATGTTAATTATATCGAGTATTAAATAATTATAAATATAAACAATAATGGCATTGCTCCATTTAATCGTTATCTTTTTAAAACGAATATTCTCAATTTCTCTTACAATACGATTATAGAGAAAAGCCACTTGTATCTTCGATCCAATATGTACGAATAAAAAAAAAGAGAAGTAAGACGTATGTAATTAAAAAAAAAAAAAAAAAAAAAAAAAAAAAAAAAATCCCAGATGTATCTACAAATATTTAATTTCACATCGAATTTCAAGTTTCTATTACGACAATATGTTTTTGTTGCATAATAGTGAAGTCTTTGCTCTGTTCTAAGATTGTGCGTACAGAAAACAAAATTATTTTATGCATTTAGCAAGCATGTTAGTTTGGAATAAGTGATTGCATAATTTAAAATTAATTTAATTTAAAAATATTTCAGTTTCATTTGTGCATTTAAACGGATTCGCAGATCAAAGATAAACGTTTAAGATGAATTATATTTTTATCAGAAAATTAGTACACGTCAATGAAAATGCATATCAATTATTTATCGAAGTACTTATTAAGTATATATAGATAGATAGATATATATATATATTTATTATTATTATTATCTCATAAACAGCGCTAGATACTCGTGTAATTAATAGAACATCGTACTATTTATGTAAGATACGATCGAGATTGCCGGTGATAACGAGTACGGGAAACGCCATAAAAATACTTCTATTCGTGTTAATTAAAACTTATTCACGTAACCGTCCGTACAATCAGATTTACAATTCACAGATAAAACTAATCGTATCTAAGAAAAACGGCACATTCTCTACCAAATAATCACAATTATTTTTTGTTTCCATTAAATTCTTAAAAAAAAAAAAGGAAAAAAAAACTCTATATTTTCACATTGGTTTTTGTAATTTACTACTATAATTATACTTATTACGCGTTCCACTCGTCACTCCCTATATATAAAGTTATCTTTATCTCGAAGTTTTAAGTTTTAATACTTATAAATGAGAGACACACAGAAATTATACAAGTCTTATTATATTAAAAAATATTACGCAAGTTCAAAGAATTAATGTTTCCCTTAATAGAATCTACTTCTTTTTTTTTCTTTTTTTTCTTTTTTTCTTCTTTTTCTTTTTTTCTTTTTTAATACAATTGTCGTTTATCTAATGCATATGCAAATAGAGAAATTGAATGTAATTCGTCATCTTCGATAATAGAAAGATTAGTATAGAATACGCCACAGATTGCTTTGAAATTATAATTATATGACACTGCGCGAGCGTCCATACAAACTGGATTAATTAATTATTATTAATTATCATTCATAATTTAATTACACTTCTCTTCTCGTAAAAGTGCATTTGGCTGCTTTGATTTGATAATTTTATAAATGTTGCATTGATAACCATAGATCGAATTATTTCATTTTACTAAGGTATTTTAATGAAATGTTAATATATTTATATTATAAACAAAGTATGCCTAAGCTTGTGAATAATTGTATATCGAGTGACTTTAACCGAGCAAGTTAGCTCGTTCAATGCCAACGCATCACCCTATTTTCCTTCTCACCCACTCCCCCTCGCCACCCAACTCACCTGTTACTACTTGTATATCTTCATATCTCTGCTGTGTACTGGCCCAAAGTAAATTCGTCCTCGTGTCATCATTGCGCAATCCGCGAATTCCCAACGCAAATAGAAATTCCGCGGACCCTTAAATGGGGGAAGGAGGATGCCGAACTTCATCCGATCATCCAGGTTCACCAATTCTACTCGTCGGAGCTCCCTGACTCCTCGTGCTGGGGAATTCCGACTCTTGGCCCCGTCGTCTTTATCAATGTCCCAAGTCATCTTCGATTTCTTAAACGTAAGCGTTCCGCACCTTAGATACAAATAGTGTCAGTCGGTGAGTACATCCAAGCTACGATAAGGGGAACACTAGACGGACATCCTGATAAGAAATTGCCGAGATACGAAAGTCACAAATTTATTTATAATACGAAATAAAATTATGATTAAAATTCGTTAATTAATTTTAAAAAGTCATTGTTGTTGTGAATTAATTTACATGATAAATTTATACCGATTTCATGCTTAATAAATACATTCTTACGTATACGCTTTCTTTTCTATTTTGTTGAAAATCGTATTTTTTTCTTATAAATTTGAATCGCGTCTGCAATAAATAACATCGTCATAGGTTTAGTACATTATAAATTACGTCGAGGAGTATATTTTTTGTAAGTTAACAAAAAAAATAAAAAAAAACAAAAAAACAAAAACAACAGCAACGTCCACTTTGTACATTGTTAAACATTCTTTAAATCAATTAAATTAAATAAATTGTTTTTGTTTTCAAGAATATGTGAAACTTTATATTGAAACGAGTGAGAGATTTATTTATGAATAATTAACGTTCTTGTTAGTGTAAGCAATTGTTACTCAAAGTTTTTCACAATAATTAGTGAAAGGTACAAAACTTTCGCACTTTCTGTACGTTGGTTATTCATATCGTTAGATTATAATTATAATATTATTTGATCGATAAATAGAAACATCTGTTGAAATTTATTTGCACAACACTTTTGCGCATAGGGTAAGTAAATTTATTTATATCTGTTATCAATTGTCATTGAATCTTAATTCTTTTCTCATTATTCTATATTCGGAACAATAAAATTATATATATTGTTTTACGCCTTTATATTCCCTTTATGTTCAAAATACTCTTTCTTCTCTCTCTCTCTCTCTCTCTCTCTCTCTCTCTCTCTCTCTCTCTCTCTCTCTCTCTTTTACTCATTATTCGCTTATTGCATTCAGAAATGCGCTAATAATATACCAATGAATAACGATGCTTCCGAAGTGTTTAATTATTTTTATATTCAAAGTTACGCGTGTAAATTTTCTTCTTACGAAAAAACTATTGAAGCAACTATTGTTAAATCATTCTATTATTTACTAATAAAAACGTCATATTTAATAAATTTACAAATTATAAAAAAGACATACGCGTGATTTTAAATATTTGTACGATGGTTAATGTTAATGATTAATTAAATTTGAAATTACATATTTATAAACAAATTAGATATTCACAGGAATATTTATAAAAATGTATAATACAATTTAATATACATTGATAATATTATCTTTAAATTACAATTTTCATCGTAATGACAATAATTCTTATTCATAAAAATGTATTATAAAATTATTTATATGAATGCATATGTGTATGTATATATATATATATATATATATATATATATATATATAAGCATGTAGTCTATTAGATTGAATATTAATTAGAATTGTTAATTTGAATTTGGTTCAAAATAATTTGACAACACTGCAAATATGGCGATTAAATGCTTGGAGTACGAGTGTATTTTGTAAGCATTTTTATCCTTCTTTATTAATTGTATATCTTATGCTGAAACATTGTTGAGTAATTTATTGGATAATTTATATTAGCCCCCCTCCCCCGCCGCCGCGCCCCTTCCCACATTAAATAGTCACAGAAGAATTTATTATGTAGTAGTAAATCGATAAATATTACTTTAAATCAAGTCTGGTAGGTTATAAATGTCAATACAGCTTATGCTATTCCTTCTACAAGAAAAGTAGATTTCACTAATTTAACTAATTTTTTATTTATCCTAATTTATTTCCTTTTAAATTCTACTAAAATTTATCAGTGTAATTAAAATATTTATTAATATTTTTCAGGTAATCCAGAAAATTAAAATAATTATTAGATGAATGTTGAAATGTCATTTCTGTATCAACTGTATCCGTATAAAATGATTTGTTTTGTTTGCAATTCCAACGTTGATCAGAATAGCTATACTAACATGTTTTTCATATCTCTTCCACACATTCAAAACCTTATGGTAAATTTTGTATTAAAAGTACTTAAATTATCGCTTTCCGACCTAAGCAGCAATTATATCTGTGTAAGATGTTACAATTTATTTGGAATTCTTGAACAAGTGCAGTGGACAGCCGCAAACATACAATCAGAAATTTTAAAAATTTTTGAAAACCGCAGCAATCAAAAATCGAAATTAATCAAGGTTTTTGTTAAATTTTATTTACAGATCGTTTGTCAATGTTATATAAGAATTATGTAATTTTTGCTGCTTTTTAGCTTACGCCAAGTGTCTCAGAAATGGAGAAGGTCGACGAAAAACATTATACAAATGAAATAGTCTGGAATCATCTATCGGACAAAGATTTGATCTCGTTAAGCAATGTTACAAATAAAATTATACAAAATTATGTGATATCTAACGAAGTGGATATTCAGTTTAATAAAACATCGTATGGGATGTCGAACGACGTAGAAATTCAGAATAGTAATAAACCGTCTGTGATAAGTAACGAAGAAGAGTCCAAAATAACAAACTGCGTTGCCATTCAACAATGCTTAGAAAATGACAAGGTATCTGATGTGTCGTGTAATATGGAGTCTTTAAATTCAAAAGATCCAACCACTAATATACTTTCCGACACCATCGTAACTGCCGACGTTGACAAAAAATCTAACTCTGAATGGCAGAATACGAAGGATATTTCAGATTTACAAAATGATGCCAATGACAATAAAAGTAAGATAATCTAGCCTTAATAATTGGTAATATAATATGTTCACAATTGAATAAAATATATTATTTATCTTTATTATGTAAATTGTGGATTCCTTTAATTAAAGGCAAGTAAGAAATATATCTTCCAAATGATTTTCCACTAACGTTTTAGCGCATTTCTTTGCAACTGAAAAACATTTCTAAAACACTTTCTTGTAAATTATACTGTAAATTGAACGTCATTATAAATTGAAATTTACTTTTTTATTACTTTATTATAATTTAGCATATAATACAATTTGTATTTTAGATTTAAATTCTGCAGAAAATTCGGAGAACCCAAGAATAAATTCCAGTCATAGAATCCAGTCATCGTGGAAGTCGGGTAGAATCTCTAAGTACAGCCAGAAACTTTTAAAGCACAGCTGCCCAACTTGTAACAAAAAGTGGCGAACATCCACAGAGCTCAAAATCCATATGAAGTCTCACTCTAACTTGCGACCTTACATGTGTGAAAAGTGTGGACAAGCTTACAAGCACAAACACGCATTAGAGATTCATGTGGGCATGCATAATGGTGTGAGTCCTTTTCGCTGCAGTCATTGCAATAAATGTTTTACGCAGAAAGGTGCGTTACATAGACACTTGCCAATGCACACCGGTGAAATGCCTTATCAGTGTGAGTTGTGCGGCAAGAGATTTGTGCACCACACAAGTTACAACATGCACGCACTATCGCACACAGGGAAAAAATCTTACAGTTGTCACGTACGTATATTTATTTCTTTATACACTAACTAATTTATATAATAGAAGTTTCGTAGAGGTAAATACATTTTACTCTCATGATTATGTGATACTTACGTTATTCTCGATAAGTCGTAATTCAATATACTTAATGTGCTGTAAAATTAATTAATATTGAAATCAAAGAAAATACTGTTACATTGTATAATACTTATACAGTGAGAACCCCAAGTAAGATTAACAGTATATATTATGAGATTTTAATGTCTAATTCTTTTTATCAACCTTTACAAAGTTAAAATTTTCAAAGCCATGGCATAATTTAGTCAGTATTAATGTCAAAATGTTATCTACATATTTTCGCAATTTTTTAATAAATTGTTCTACATTTAAGCGAGTTCTCAATGGTTTTAATTGCTTACGATATTAATAAAAACAAAAACAAAAAAAAACAAAAAAAAAACAAAAAAACAGACTCTTTATGTATCGATGTAGATTTACAAAATTTATTACGTTGTTAATTTTTAATATAATTAAAAATTTATTACGTTGAAGAAATTTAAATTTGTTTTTATGCTTTATAACAATATAATGAGAAATGTTGCTTTATTATGTATTAATGACCCGAAAAAGAAACAAATTTATATTTAATCGAAATTAGTTTTCTTTCAATTACAGCATTAATTAACAGTCGTTGGACAAAATTTAATTGGCTTGACTTTAATCGACTGAATATTTTAATAATGTTTTAAAGTTATTCATGCTATCGATTGACACAAAGCGAATACAAATTAATCTTTCTTATTACAAAAATTATATTACTCCTATTGTTTATTTAATATTATTAATTAATTATACTATATAATTATAATTATAATTATAATATAATACGTTTCGTTAAAATCCACGAATTTCAGTCGATCATTGTCTTTCGCATTCCAGCGTTCTATCGTCTATCTTATTATATTATTAGCATAAAATGTTCTTATATCATAAGTATTAATTAATCTGTGCTAATAATAATATTGAGATTGTTCATTTTGTGAATATCCAAATGAAGCTTAACTTACTAATTGCTTAGTTGATAATTAAAAATCCCTATATTCCCAATATCTTCAACGGGGCATAATACTTGTTTGTTTTCTCATTTGCCCTTCGGCTTTTGGCGAAAGCAGGTGTGCGATCTTTCATTACTGTCCACCTCGCATCTGAAGCGACATATGCGTGTTCACTCGGGCGAGAAACCATACACTTGCAGCGTTTGTGGCAAAAGCTTCGCCGAGCGCTACAATCTATTGGCCCACCAGAAGATCCACGATCCCCTGCAAACGACCGTTAAGGAGATCAAAAGGAATCATTACAAGTGAGTACTTGAACGCGAGGAGATGTCATTGTTATTGCCAACGCAACCTATTCCAATTCAATACGAGCAATTATGAAATGTTTCGCGTGGGGTGTTGGTGATGTCTATAAAAAGTTATAATTACAATTAAAATTGTGATAAACGATCATTTCATTTTGTAAAATGTAAAAGCTGAAAAAGAAATCTGGCACTTTAACACGGGGGAAATTAAGGTTTTGAGGCTCCTTTCTTTTTCGGTTATTTTTTTTTGCTTTTTTTTGTTTTTTTTTTTTAAATTTCCGTTACTTCGTCTGGTAGTACCTGGGATTTTTATATTGATTGCGATGAATTGCAGTCTACAGTAGATTATGTTTGCAAAATTAAGTGTTATTATTTCCATTGCACGTTTAAACGACCAAGTCCAAAACCAACATATGAATTTGAAATTTACTCATTTATTTCTGATTTCTCATAATTTATGTATAATCTCTAATGAGATAAATATCATGTGCATGTACAACAATTTTATATTATGCTATAATAATTATTCTTTAGTAATTGATATTTTAAATTAAATGATTAAAATATTGTAAATGAATCTAAATTGCCTTTCTAGACGCACAGTTAATTTTACAATCATTATTGCTCAATATTTTTTCGTAAAACATATTTATACTTATAGTTTATTATAGGAGCTTGGATCGATCGAAGGATTATAAAAAAAAAAAAAAAAAAAAAAAAAAAAAATTATTCAATAACTACTTACAGGTAACTTATAATTTTAAAAAGCAATAATTTTATAATTACTATCTAATTTAAATATTAATATTTATTGTTTAAATATTTATTATCTACGGATATAGAAATGTGGATGGTATGGAGGGGGAGGGGGTTATAATTATTCTTTACGGAATAATTAAATAATAAATTTTATACGGAGTACGTGAATTAAATTACGTAAATCCAAAATTATTCTTACATTCGCTCGTTTGAAAATATTTTAACATAAAAATATCCATATACTAATAACCGTAAGACAGACGTTAGGTATTATTATGTGGCGATAAAACATTTTATTATCCCCTAAAAAAAAAAGCTTGTAAAAGCTTGTAAAAGCTTGTAAAAACACGAAAATAACAAATAAATGGTTAAAGGAATTTTTTAATAATAGGATTATACATTTGTTTGATTTCCGTTATTCGCACATGAGATATTGACCACTTTGCACAAAAAGCTACGACATAGGAGGTCATTTTCATTAGAGATTTGAAATATGTCGACCCATTTAGAATAATTGAGAACAATGTATTCTCAACGAGCAAGAAACAAAAACAAAAACAAAACAAAAAATTAAACAATACAAACAAACAAAAATACAGTACTCGACGATTCATTTCAATAATAATAATAAGTTGTTAGTACCGAGTAGTAGACGAATACTTGGGTATTTTTATTTAAAAATAGGAAAATATCTTATTGTCATTATAGATAAATAAAAAAGAAAATAATCTTATTAAATTTTTATTTATTTTTTATCGTTGAAATTGATTATAAAAACGATCTACAATTTTATTTTCAATGATAAAATTATTTTATCACTTTTCTCTATAAACACAATAAAAATAATCTTTTTTCTCGGTAAATTACTTAAATTTCTAATTAATCTGCTAATATTCTATCGAGTGATTGTTTCAAGCGGCAGAATATCTGCCCATTTTTACACTCCATACTCCTATCCATGCCAACGTACATGCATTGTACCTCTCAATGTCGTAGGATAGTAGTTGTAAGAACAAAAAAAAAAAAAAAAAAAAAAAAAAAAAAAAAAAAAAAAAAAAAAAAAAAAACCCCGAAGAAATAGATTTTGAATGACAATTGATAAGAATTCGTATGCGTGTTGTAGATTAATTTGAATCTTCAAATATTCCAGGAGATGGTGTATACAAACGTTAGAATGTTATTAAAAAAATTAAAACAATGTAATTTACTTTAAAAACATTTCAATGCAATATACATATATATATATATATAATTGGAAATTGTAATAGGATAAAATTTAAAAAGTAATTTTATTTTTATGCGCATAAAAGCGGGGATAATAGGAATCGAATAAATTGAATTCGATTGCCTAAGGCAGAACGTGAGTGTAGTAGCAATCGATTTATATACGTTTTGCCATCTAAAATTCTTATATTATGCTCTCGGCGATGCTCTCGATGCGATAAAATTTGACATTAAAAGAAGATTAAAAGATACATCAAAGATTTACATTAAGCTGTAATGAGAATTTATATATACGTTTGCGTCTTCATCCCATTACTACGTATTTTGGTGGTATGAGACATTAAAATATCCCAAGTAAATAAATATTTCAGAGAAACGAGTGTTTTTATTCTAATGCGCTGGTTAAAAACAGGGGGTAGGGGTAGGGGTAGGGGAGGGGAGGGGAGGGGAGGGGGGGGGCAGGGGGGCAGAGAAAGAAAAAAAAATCGATAGATAATGTTATCCAATTGGCTGGTACTCGATTTATATCTCTAGAGCCACTTGGAGACAGCTAAGCACGCCTCGTGAAAAAAAAAAATTTACAATTTACTCTCTTAAATCTATCGTTAGATGCAGTCAGTGCGACGTCACATTCTCGAAGAAGCAAAAGTTCACGAAGCACGTAAGCCAGCACTCCGCTGAGCAAAGTCCAGGAGGTCGGAAAGACGCCCCCGATGTCGATCCGTACGAGGGCCAGAGTCACGTAATGGAGGTACTTCGGGGCTAATGAGATCGACGGTGACGCTCCAGTCCCGTATCAACGAGGTATGGGAGAGTTTGCGAAAAGTGCTGACTGAAAAGTGATTGGCAATCGCTGATTGATAATAGCGCTTCCCCAATCGCGATAAGCAGTCTCGGCTTATCGGCACTAGACACGGCACTAGACACGGCACTAGACACGGCACTAGACACGGCACTAGACACGGCACTAGACACGGCACTAAGACACGGCACTGGCACTAGACACGGCACTAGACACGGCACTTTTAAGCGCCCAACTTCTCTTTAGGCTAATGCTCGTAAGGCGAATAGTACTCTATATATCATTTGTATTAACATCATTAATCGCGAGATTGCCATTTCGTGAGGCAGTATCAATTGGTATTGGCATTTGTCCTAGCTTTATCGAGTGCATATTTTAATAAACGGCTACGTTCGTTCGTCAAGGTGCGTCGCAGCTTCGCTACGTCTTACGCAATAAGTACTTATTTATTGAAGAGATCGTGAGCAGTTGTCAGTCATGTAAATGTGATGAAAATTGATACTCCATATCGGTTATGCATTGGTAATGTTAATACGCGAGTCGATAAGATAGAAATCCTTAGTGATGATTTAATATTTAAAAAAATGTAAAATGTTATATTAATGCGTCGGTTATCTTAGAAATTGAAACATTATACTCGATTAATTTTAAATGCCGTGTAATCGTTTTATTTAGTCAAAAATTGCCTATAATTTTATAGATAATTAATAGAAATAAATAAATATCTAGTGGCAGGTAAACGAAGAGGTAAAGGATAAATTAGAAAAGCCTTATTCGAATGAAGAGAATATATTTACAAAATAGATTTTTCATAATTTATGATAATTCTTAGTGCTCTAGCATTATATACATTTGACACATAGTGCATTAATAGTAAATTTATACTTCATTTAAAGAACAAATTTAAACTTTTATTTTTTGACGTTTCCCGAGTAGTATTTCATGACTGCTGCACACACAGCAGCTCTTAACACATATTTATCTAATCGTATTTAAAGTAGTATTTTCTAAAACAATACCTGTATGCTTTCTTAAATATAAATAATTTTTAAGTTTAAATGGCTCGTGAAATTTGACTAAGAAAATAGTTTTATAACATATATATATATATATATATATATATATACCGTTCACTCCCATAGCGACGAATCCGATAAAATCATGGCTCTCCTTATACGTATTATAGTATGAAGGGGAATCATGAATTAGATTTTTATAATCTTATCGCCATTTTCATGCATCTATTCGATTCAATATTTTTAAATCTCGTCAAATAACGATATTTTTAAATTAATTATTTCGTCGTTTTTTTTTTGTTGTTTTTTTTTTGTTTTATGTACAATGTATCGAGATGGATATATCGAAGAGTGCGAAAGTCTTTCAACTGAAAATGTAATTAAAAAAACGAAAAAGAAAAAGAAAGAGAAGTATAATGGATAATAGAAAAAAAGTTTTTTACCTTATAACATTTGAATCTACGGTATTTTTATATCTCCTTCTTAAATTATAATATTTCTAACGAATAAATCCATGTAAAAAAATAATGTAGTTAAAATTATTGTAATTTTATTTGGAAAGCATTTTAATGCAATGTTTAAAATTTAAACAAGAAATAAGCAATTTTCTTTTGCAATATTTTAATATAAAGCCATAATTCTACCATAATACTAGATAATTTCTTGCAAAAATAAAATAACTTGCTTATCACGCATACACACGGCGTTTACGTATGTGCACGTGCACACGCGCACGCACACGCGCACGCACACAAATATACTTTAGCACAAAGGCGTATAAAAGCACTCATTGGTTTAAAAATTATATAATTGGCACAATTCTACAGTGATTTTTTAAAATGACTGATTCATTAGTCTCTCGGTACAATTATAATCGAGTGAGTGAAAATTGACTTGCAGCTTGCATATAAGTTACATGAAATTCCTCTAATTGATACACAGATCAAATGCAGTTACAAATAAAGTAATGTTGCCGGCTGCTTAATTGATTTTATAATGATGAGAATGATTCATCATGCTGATGCCATTTTCTCAAGGGCAGCTTTATCAAATAGGTACAAGTGGAAATTTTCTTTCTCAGTGTAATCAATGGCCCCTTTTCGTTTATAAAAACTTTTAGCACGATTCCAATCAGTAACTATAAATTCCATTTTATCGACATTTTGTTCAACTGCTTTCTGCAAAAATCATTTTTATTTATTTTAATGTCTTCACTAAGCTGCTTATATAATTGAGTAAATACTTTGAATGTAGAATATTCTAAGCATATGTAATAATAAGCTGAAAATTACACTTCTGTTAAATTTTTTTTTTTTTTTTTTTTTTGGCTTACTATTGAGATTAAATATAAAATACTTAAAATTGGATAATCATTAGCTTCTCCATGAAGTGCTCGCTGAATTTACTATTAAAAATATCAGATCACTTTATATTTATTGTTAAAGAAATTGCGGAAGAAATTGTAAATTGTAAAAGAAAGTGGTGAAAAAATTTATGAAAACTTTATAATCCTTATTTTTCAAACTACGCTTAATGCAAATAACAAGCTTAAAATTCAACAGACTCAAATTATAAATAAACGCATGTAACGGATGATCAAATATTTGTATGTAACGATTATTAGTTCCAATATGTATGTATGCATTGTTGTTAAAACTTCGCACTGAGAATGAAATTATAACTCAAAACAACAATGACAGATCTTTACTACAAACATTTCATACTAACGTCGATTGCTCAAGTTTATCGATAACTTACTTTGGCAATAGCATGCATGAGTTTATCACCTACACGATGATTGCGGAATTTCTCTTGTACATAAAGATCCTGTAGGCACATATTTCTTCCTAGTCGTACAGTATAAGTATAATAATAATGAGCATAACCAATTACAGTATTATCGATTACTGCAACATAGAAACCCATATTCGGACATTCCAGGTCGAATGTGTCTCTTTCCAAAACTGTAATAAGAAATCATTTCTGCAGTAACGATAGAGGCTCGACACTGCTTTATTTGCCACACGAATCAACACGGGCAATATGCTTTAAAAAAAAAAAAAAAAAAAAAAAAGACATTCATTTTTTAATTTTTTAATATGCAATATCTACACTGAATGCAATGAAATGGAAAAGAAAGAAAAAAGAAAAAAAGAAAAAAGAAAAAAAAAAAAAAAGACAAATCATCGTCCTCTCCATTATCTTATCAATAGATATTTAAAATCGCGCTGTGTCATTTATTTGCCTTTGTGACAATTGTAAAAATAATACATTACCTTTGGCATCCACTTGTGGGCTGTTAAAGTGCTTGTGAAAATTTGCTATTTCCTAAATAAAAAAAAAAAAACAGACTTGCCCCCATTAGTCTACCATGCCCTTACAATGTAACGACGTAGGACTGTTTGCCTCTCACCTTAGATAGATTAATAATGCTTTGACAATCTTCTCGTCTGGCCTCGCGAATAATCACAGCGGACTCGTCCATCTTCGATCCGCACTCTAAACCGCGCCGGACTTGCCCCGAGGAAAAGCTACAATGTACTGCTGAGTCGCGACCGACAACCGACACTGAGCAGTCCACAATGTGCCTATGTAAACACGATAGGGGATCACTTGCCTTATCCACGTGTGTGTTCATTATTACGTAACGCAATATGGAGATTCGCAACGCGGGGACTTGTGTTTTTGAATTATGTAAGATAAAAGATGTTTGGAATGAGCGACAGACTTTTCTCTTGTTGTTTTGTTTTTTTGTTTTGTTTTGTGTATCAGAGTGCCGTGTCATTTTTTTTTTTGTTCGAGAGACACTTGATACGTACAAGCGAATCTGGCGAAGAGGACGGTAATTGGCTTATTGTGATTATCTGAGAATACCGAGAACTTTTTTTAAAGCGGCGCCAAGTATGTAAACATAACCCTTGGGCAAACACTTTTGAAGAGCTTCCAGACAACTTTCGACATATATATCGTTTATAGGTAGAGGTATTATTTTTTTTTTTTTTTTTTTTTTTTTTTTGTTGTTGTTGTTTTTATATAAAAGAAAATTTTGTTTTTATAATAAATAATACTTTAATTCTCGAGTTTCTTAAATAATAAATAATTAAGATAAGCTAATAGTAACTGATTAAAATTATCATAATGACGACTTCTTTGGGAGTTCGAGCAGTCTGTATAAATGCCATTCTTCATTTTCAGTTAGATCGATAGCACCCTTTGATGTATAAAATCGTCCGGCTTTCTTTGGATCCAAGAGCCAAAAATCAATTCTCGAACACTTTTCATCGTGAGCTTTCTGCAGTGAATCGCATATTCTTCAATATTCTGGGACCATTGGGTGTTTGAGTAATAAGAAATGAAATGTCGTTCGTACCTTCGCTACTGCAGATAATAGATCGTTTGTCATGTTTAGTTTATGTTCGTTCAAAGTTACATAAAACTCTTGAAGATACATTGACTTTCCTTCCCATGTCGAATACGTGTAGCAATAAAGCGCATAACCAACCACTCTGTTATTAACAGCTACGACTATATATCCAAAATAGGGGCATTTTTTATCAAAGTCATTGTTTTCTGCAAACCATTGTGATATACAATATTAAATTTAGTATTAATTAATTTCAATTATCAGGGAAATTATTATTAAGCCGTTTGAGTATTAATTTGATTTAAATATCTAATATGACAGTATTCGTTAAAATTAAAATATTTAATTTATAAATTGGTCAGAGTGTTGTATGATTAATATTGCTTATAAATGACAATTACCTTCGATCGCTATGGATATTTCATTCGTTTTGGACTCGTTTCTGACTCTCCGGGACTCGAATGCTTCCTTAAAAGTAATAAATTTCTTAATAATGACGACTTAATTGAATATATGCTTAATTATAGAAATGATACCTCCGCTAATCTCTTAATCGAATCGAACTCCTCTAATCTTGCGTCGTGCACTTGGTACACATCGCTTACACAGTCTGAAATTAATAATCGTATATTTGCATGTATTAATAAATATGCACCTAATGTAGGCGAGAATAATGATTAATTTGTAATTATTCACTCGATGCTATGCTTTGTAGAGTATGACAATTCAAACGATACATGTGCCATCCTTCCATTTCGGTTAAATCAATGGATCCTTTAGCTTTATAAAAGTTTTGCGCCGGATTCCAGCTTAAAACTGAAAAGTCCAAGTACTGACAATTTTCATCGAATGTTCTCTGCAAAATGCATTGAAAATATTAAAACCTGACATCAATACATGGCTTTATGAAAATATAATTAAAATAATGTTGAACCTTGGCAATAGCATGAAAAAGCCGACTGCCTACGTATTTCTGACGATAATCTGGAGTAACATAGAGATCTTCCAAATGCACAATTTTCTTATTCAATGTTGAATAAATATAGAAGTACAATGCATAGCCAATTATTTTATTATCGCAAACTGCCACGTAACATTTAAAAAGTGGATTTTCACCATCGAAGCCATCTTTTTCTAAAACTAAAGAGAAAATTAGAATATCGTATAGGGTATTTTTAAGGCTTTAAAAATAGTTGAGATCATTTACCATCGTAATCTATCTTTGGACCATCTGGCATCTCCTCAAATTCAGCCAATTCCTATTAAATTAAAATCCTATTAAATGACTATTAATACCTTGGAATATAAATATATAAATATGGAATATAAATATAAAAATATAGGATGAATCAATTAATCTTTAATAAAAATTTTATATAAAAACATACCAAATTAACAGGATCCTAATAATTATTTCTAATTTAATGAGGCCTGTATTATTCAAATTTTTAATTTTTAATTTTTAATTTTTAATTTTTAATTTTTAATTTAAACCTACATTATAATACCTAGATTATAAATATTTCACAATAATATAATAATAAAAGATTTTACTTTGTTTTATTATTTCATAGATCATCAAATGATTTCGTCAAATTATTTATCATTAATGGAACGATAATAGGCCTAATTAAAAGTAAATTAAATGCCTTATAATACGTCAGATACTGGTGTTGCAGGGAATGCAATTGTATATTAATAAAGCTTATGCTGACTTATTTTAGGAAAGACGGTTGTCTTCTGCAAATTATGCATTGAATAAAGTATCACAAATAATAATAATATTACGAATTAACGTGCTTCTATAAATAATTCTCGGAAGCTAAAAATAAATCGTTCTATGTACCTGGATAAGATTCCAAATCTCTATGCTGTCCTCCCGCACAGCGGGTCGAATATCTATCGACTTTTCCATTATTTTCAGGCTCAATCTGCAATAAACAGTATGTAGATAAGATGCGAGATTACAACGATCGAGAAGGAATATCCGATCGGCGAATCGATTATACGAGGGTAAGTAATGATACTTACGGGCAAAATCGCAACATCTGCGCGGTGATGTATCGCGGCGGAGCGACGGAGTAGGTTAGAACAAGGAAATCGAGTTTCTGTTTTATTGGCATTGAAAGAAGCCTCCCGTGGAGCGCACATGCTCATCGCTCTTAGAGTCAAGATAAAAAAAGAGGAGACGCTAGCAAAGACCTTGATTATTATAACATACGAATTATAATTGCTATCGCATGTCAATGGCCCCCCAATGTACACATATTCAAATAACGTCAAACTTTATCTACGTTCAGCGGCGATTCGATGTACCTCCCTCCTTCCTTCTCTCCCTCTCTGCCGCTCGCCATCTCGCCATCTCGCCATCTCGCCATCTCGCCATCTCGCCATCTCTCCCTCTCTCCCTCTCCCACACCGAGCTTTCTCCCGAGTTCGCGGGAATCGTTCAAACCCTTGATTTTCATTCACGGTATAGCGGCATTTTCCCCATTTATTTATCGTGATCGAAGCGATGGTATGGGTGACTTGCATCAGGTGCACTCAAACACTCGCATATTCATTGAAAGTATAAATTTCATTGCCGCTCCTTTATCCAAACACATCCTTATTCATAATTGGATATTTAAAAGAGCGATTATACGATCGTTCCTCGTACTCTTAGCCATTCTAATAAGGCAAATCAAGTTGCTAAGTTCTTTATCGTTGAAAACCTCAAAGTACTTTGTTAAGAGGCTTTGCAAGCGCTATTTTCCAACTGTACGTATTTTTCTTCTCCATCCTCCATATTTTAAGAGGCTAACATAAATCAGCATCTAACGACGATCCTCGTGCTATTATAAAATTAATTATTATTATTAACAAGTAATATCGACGCGTGTAATTGTATAATGGGTAAGTAATTTGATATACGATGAGTTTTTTTCTCTCTCTTTTTTTTTTTAAAATTAAGTATTGGGTAATATGCTTCTTAAAAAGAAACACGTTTTATCCTGTCTGTCAAAGTAAAAATTATTGACTAAAAAGGGATAAATTTTTATTTGAAGATTGCAATTGATGGATGGTAGATACAAATATATTTTATTAAAATTTAATAATAAGAAAATAAGAATTCTAGTTTTAATTAGCGAGAAGTTTTAAGAATGATGTATTATGGACATATTTTAAAATTTTCCAAAACTTTAATTTTACTACGTTCGAATGATAATACGTTTTACTAAAAAAATACTTCAAATATAATCGCATATTTTTTAATTTGATTTAAAAATATTAATTTTGTCGATTATACAATAATCAGCAATTAATTAGAAGAAAATTACAAAATCTTGGGGAAAGTTTGCTAGGATAGTGTAATTATTTTTAAATAATAAATTGTACTGTTAAATAAAATTTTTAATTTTTATTGACGGGGCAGATGAAGCATTTTGAGTTGTTTAAAGTTACTTTGAAATATTTTAATATTAAAATTATTTTTTTTTTTTTTTTTTTTTTGTACAGGTGTTTTCAACATACCTTGGTAAGTATAGTAAATACAGAATACAATGTACATAGTTTATTTGGGAATGATAAATTTTAAATTGGAAAAGTAATTTAAAATTTATGCAATATGAATAGCAGCAACAGCAGTTATATTAAATGTTTTAAAATATCAATAATAAGTCGAACGTGTATGTAAAGTATAAATTATAAAGTATCTTATGAAAATAAAGTGGCCACATTGTCTATATTTTTAATATGTAAATGCATTTAATTATAATATAAAATATTAAATGCTATGTAACATGTAATTTCATAAATCGTATTTGTCGTACATTAAGACTAATTTATTAGTCATTCTCTATTAATTTCAATAATTCGAGAGGAAATACTTGACCAGGATTTTCATAAATATATTCTCACTCTACGTATGAAGTGCAATTTTAATTGCCAGTAATGATGAGAATATCAAGATTCTGTATTAATTATATAAATATCCAGAGATTAATCTTGCGTGCTTTAACGTTAATGCAAATTCGAAACAAAATACAAAAAAAAAAAAAAAAAAAAAAAAAAAAAAAAAAAAATATAAAAAAATGATATACATCCTGACTGCGATTTTAATCTTTAAAAGTATGTTTATTATTATTAGTGAGAAAAAAAAATTGAATAATTTCTAGTTAGAGTAAATGATTACTACAAACGATATTAAACAATACTAAACAAATTAATTTGTAAAATATATAATGAGTAATAATAATAATGATGACGATGATGATAATCTTGATAAATGATAAATTATATCGAATAGTCGGAATTGCGGAACAAAGATATATCGCGAAAAACATTATTGTACTTTGGTTATTCAAGCTTTTATAATAATTCTTCAAACACTACTATATTTCTCTTATCCTAACATATCATTGAAAGAGCAAGTTCAAACATTTTAATAGTGACAGAATTTTAAAGCACACAAAATTAATATATTTTCGTAAAAGTTTCACTTTCAACTTAGCAGCGAGGATTAATTTTTTTTTTTTATAAATATGTATTAACTTAGATAATGTCGTGTACAAATCATTTTACGCATCTTAATATATGAAAAAAAGAAATAGAAGAACAAAACTTCTAATAATTTTTCATCGTCTTTAATTTATTCGCAACGATCAATAAAAATCTTTATCGATTTTTTTTTTTTTTTTTTTTTTTTTTTTTTTTTTTTTTTTTTTTTTTTTTTTTTTTGAAATACTCTTGCGTATAAGCGTACAAGAATAAAAATAAATGATAATTATTTTCAGTCTGTCAAACAAAGATACCATATGATGAATTATCAATGTGAATTTATTTAAATTTAAATATATGATACCAAGTACTAAAGCAATTACAAAAGAGCAAAAGAATTGCCCGATAAATTGTGGATTAACGAGTCTTTACTCCCAAATTACGCGACTATTTCTTTTTTTATTTTTCATTTTTGTTTATATTTATACGAATGTATTCGGCCTGCGAATTGTAAATATAATTATCAACATTTATGAATCGTGTCTTACTTACATTAATAAAGTAAAAAATAGCGTCAATTATTTTGACACGTAGAAAGAACGTAAGAAACGAAGATGAAACGTTATTATCTCAACAACGTTTAATATTCGATTCATAAAGCCTCCATATATAGTCTCTAACCACACAAGGCAATCATGATTTTATTTTCATTTTTTTCTTGAAACTTTGTTAATTCATTGTTTAAGCTTATAAATATCATTCGGTTTATAAAACGTTTTGCATTAATTTACAAACATAAAATAAAACATTACACCATTAAAGAAGTTAAATAAGTGTAATCGAATATTGTAAATTGTTCTTTATTCGTTTCAACAATACGTGTTCTCACATGTAGATTATACATATATATATATATATATATATATATATATTTAAAATATTTATTGTATATTTTTGTTTGTATTATCCTTGTGCTATCGCTTTTTAAAATATACTTTGATGATATAATTTTTTTTAACACTTATCTAAATTAATTATAAATTTAAAACAAAAGAAAGAAAAAAGCGCGATGATATCGACGGTATATTAATACATTTTTTATCAGAATTAAGCAAAAGTAGCAAATAAGAAAAAACCAGCTTAAATGAACGAAAATTTTGTTTAATAAGGAAAATCCAAGGAAATTAAAAACAAATAATAGTTAATAATAAATTATGTTACGTATATAAAGATCACGTATGAATGTATCGCATTAAACGATATGCGCGCGCGCGTGCATTAGTATGTATGTGCGAAGCGTTTGATGAGTCTGGGATCTGACGGCATTTCCTACTATTGAAAAATGAAAGAGAAATAGGGAGAGATGGGGAGATGGAATATCGATTACCACTTTATTATAACTTGAACTTGAAGCATATCTTTGAACTTCCAAGATCAAGTGCATCTATACCTTATCGTTGACATCAGTTCGAGCAGTTGATTAGAGCAGCGACTTTTCATCTTTTAATCAACAATAATTGCAACTGTTTCGAACATTCGGCCATCTCTTTGTCAATTGCCTATCTCACAAAAATTTATTACACATTTGCAATCGAATTATCGTCGCCCACCACGAGTGCACGCGCATACACACACACACACACACACACTTCTCTTTATGTATTCAATATTACTGATTATATATGTTGCCATTATAATTTGAATTATATATATATATATTTTTTTGTGTGTGCGTGCGTGCGTGCGTGCGTGCGTGTGCGCGTGTGCGTGTGTGTGCGTGTATATTTATCTATGAAAGATAACTCTACAATTATTATCAAAGAATTTTATTTTTTCAAATTTTGATAACTTAAGTCTTAAAAGTATAAATTTTTGCTTGATGCATACATTTTGTAATGTGTATTTTTTATAATTAAAAATGCTCGCAAATATAATGAACTAATAATTACTCTCACGGTATACATTAATAATGCTACTGGCACATTTATTAATAATTTTGTACAATAATTTAAGATTATAATATTTCATTCTCTTTTTTGTATGAAACTTCTTGATTATCAAATAATACGACAATTAAATAAGTAACGACGATCGGTTGCAATTCAGACGTTACGAAACAATCAATTCTTTACATATTAAAGTTGGTGAAATTATCGAAGCTTGTACGACTTATTTAAAAGTTCGATTGGTAATAAAAATTTCGTATTGATTAAAAGTATATACTTTTTTTCATTATAAATTCACTCTTGTGAAATGTTAAAAATAGTGTATTCGATGAATGTAGCAATGCAAATAAGAAGCCGAAGATAAATATATTCAAATATAAAATACATTACCTGCATGTATTACAATCACATATATTTATGAATTATATAAATTTAAGTATATTATATTATAATTTTATTCTAATTGATAAACATTCGTTAGTTCAATATTTTCTTTAAACGAAAAAAAAAAAAAAAAAAATAAATAAATAAAAAAAATAAAAAAAAAAATATATATATCGTTATTGTTTTATTTGAATGATATTTCATCTTTTTCATTTATATATTTAAGAATATTTATTAAACATAAAATTATTATAGTTTTTATGCTAATGTTAATGCAATGATAATAACATATTTATAATATACAGTATATAAGCGATAAGTGTAATCGATAACTTTTGAAATCCATTGTATTTTTGCACAATACCATACAATACCAGTAAAAAAAGTATTATCAAAAACGGCAATTATAACAACAACAACAATAACAATAATAATAATGATGATGATTATAATGATAATAAGTATGTTCTGATATTCAATATTTAAAAGACGATGAAAATGATAAATTGTTTTTTGAAAGTATGCAATATACAATTGTTAATTATACAATTCTTACGATACGAACTATTCTATTAGAGATAAAATTAGGAGAATCAGAGAGAGAGAGAGAGAGAGAGAGAGAGAGAGAGAGAGAGAGAGAGAGAAAGAGAGAGAGAAAACGTAACTGATATACAATTCTTTTAATCAAGAAAATGTCTTAATTTTCTTATATAAAAGTCTGCCATAAAAGATTTTAGCGTCTTCATTTTATTAAAGTCAGTATGATTTTCTTAAACAAAAGTTGAAAAAAGAAAGGCCAGAGAAAATATACGATTAATTATTATTATGGTATTCTTATTATCTAAATTGCATGACGTTTCCATAAAAATAAGCAAATCGATAAATAATACGTTAGTGTTTGCGCTCGAAAGCCCGAGAAATTAAATAATTATTGGGGTGATAATGTATGAAAAAAAAAAAAAAAAATCCAACGGGCGATGGATGACTCGATTCTCACGATTCTCGCGATCATTCGAATTTTGGATTTTCCGAATTTTGGATTGCCGAGAACACGAGAACACGGGGGAACAAAGTCGCGAGACGCTATTACGGCCGTCGGCGAACTGCGTCTCGTCAATCCCCACCTCGCGCAACCCAGAGACCGTCGCCATATTGTTCCGTCTCGTTTTCTCAGTCGATGATTGCTCCGTTCAGTCGCGATTGTGTTTTCGTCGCGTACGCGTTATTTAATCGAACATCCCTCTTAACGTTTACGAATAAATAATAGAAGAAAGATTATAGTCATAAATAACGTTGGCGAGCGCGTGTTGTTTGGTAATAAAGTGGTGAGGAAGAACGGTGCTCGCCACCCTTACTCCACGATTAATAACAAACGTAATCGGTCGTTCTTGCGCGAGCGAAATAAAGAGTAAAAAAGGCTCAAGCATGGCGGATATCGACGCGAAAGTGAACATGTCTCTCGGTAAGTGGACAACAGGCTCCCAGCAATTTAGCCAATCAAGCGACGAGAAAAAACCTCCGTGAGCGTACGGCTGCATTGAAATAATATACTAATGTAATATTATATGTCCTCCCAAGCGTTAAACGTTTCGGCAGAGCCGCACTTACTTCTCTCCTCGGAGGAGAAATGCTTAAGATGGCGTCGCGCGACGCACGGCCGAATAATAATCTTTTGTTCGATCCGCTCGTTATCTCATTATACTTTCGGTGTCTCGAACCCTCCAATGTCGTGGCAAAAGTTAAAATGCTTTCCAACAGCGAGTATCATTGTAATAAGTTAAGAACGCAGGACAAAGAGAAAAGGGAGAGAGAGAGAGAGAGAGAGAAAGAAAGAAAGAAAGAGAGAGATGGAGATATAAAGAGAGAAAGAAAGAAGGATAGATAGAAATAAAGAAAGCGAGAGACAGACAGAGAAATTCCACATCTATATATATATATATATATATATATATATATACACACACACACACACACACACATATATATATATAAATATATGCACACATATGCTTATATACGTACATGCATGCATGCATATATATTTATATGTGTGTGTAGGCGCGCGTGGAAGCGTATAGAATAAAATAAAATTTTAAAAATATATTATAATAGTCATAATAATAATAAGAAAAGATAAAGGAAGTAAAGATAATGTATCGATATTATGGGCATTTAAAATATATGCATGGGTATACATGCATTTATAAATATCAATAAATACTCAGGACCGATCATACGCTCCGGATGAAAGAAAATGAATATAAATGCATAAGTAAGAAAATCAAAAAGGGTCTCCGTCATCATAACAAAGATCAGCGAAAAAAAACAATCGGAAAAAGAGAAAAGGTTCATACACACACACACACACACACAAACATGTATATATGCATATATGTATACATATATATATATATATATATATATAGAATCATTGAGATCAGAAGCTTCTTATTGCGATCCCATGAATTTTGCTCCTTCAAAGACGTCCGAAAAAAGAATTGGGTAGCAGCTTTCTTCTCGCTAATGGCGAATTGGCCCGGATTCCATATTAAGAGGAACGCGGACGCCTTGCATCATCGAAAATGTGAGCTGGCAACGAAATAGACCGCCCATTAGATTTCTTTCCCCTGCCAAATAAGGAAAGAGGAGTGCTTTAAAAAGAATGCCGGAGAGCCGAAGAAGAAATGCCCTGTGGGGTTTCATCAGTGAAAATTTATTTAATTCCATGACGTTCGAACATTGGCATACTTTCGAGCTGAGAGTCACATGATAGGCGGCCAAAATAAATTTGCCCCCAATTTTCAAAACCAAGTCTATTTAAACGATTCAGCTGGCTTTTCGATAATAATTTTTCAATTAAGTCTTTGAAGTACTTTTGGAAGACACGAATCAAGCCCTTTTATAAGCGCATACGTGCCCATATACGCACATACATTATATACATACACAACACACGCATACATACATACATACAGAATACATATATATATATATATATATATATATATATATATATATATATGTATATATATATATATATGCGTGTGCGCACGAGTGTGTTTATATGTGTATTTATATAAATTATATATACGATGTATATACATATATATAAATAAATATATATATTTATATAAGTATATGTATATATACGTACATACATATATATACATATATATATATATATATATATATATATATATGTATGCACGTATATATACATACATATACATATATTTATATAACAAACTCAAAGCTGGTGATGTGGATATAATGTGATTATCGATATTTAATCGACATAAAGTAGTTAAAGTGATTTGTCTTGCAACAAAGGATAAATTGTGAAATATTTATAATTAATTGCAATATTTCAAATAATGGAATATATAACTCTCCAAGGCGGTATCGCTCATATCTCAACAATTAAAATAGTTTTTAATCACGCTTTTGAAATAAATTGATAGCCCTATAGATTTCCTTCCTTGTTTGGAGCATCGTCAATTATAATGATCCAGATTCTTAGATCATTTATTATATAACTTTTATTAGAATTTATAATGCATTTATTTAAATGCTTTCATCGCTAATATTCCTTCCTCCATAGGTGAAATTAATTTAAAGTAAACAAACTTACATTGTGGTTGAAGATAAGTTTTAAAGTATATCAAACAACCGACTGAATTTTCGTAACTATGCTGTATAAATTATTGATTATGAAAAGTTATCACGACAGGTAGAAGAACGATTTTTTCGAAACTTTAATGCCCGTACATCCGATGTATAATCAAGATTGCCATCGAAGTGGTTAATAAAACTTTATATCGTCCAAGATAAGAGCTTAGTAGTTATATTTGTTATGAAACCTTAATCGAATAACTGAGCCCATGGAGATAGCAGAAAAATTCTTCTAATATAGGGTTAAACGATAATAATAATCCAATATACAAGATGATAAGATACACTATGAAGAAAAATCAATTACAACTGCCTTCATCAAAAAGTTGGAACATATAAGAAACAGCAACTAATTACAAGAGAAAATACAATAACGACCCGTATGAAGAATTATGATGCTCTAGTATAAGAACAATATGAAAATATGCTCGGTAGTTGCTTTAAATTTTTAAGAATTTATTAATTAGATTTTTCTTAAGCTTTACATCGAGCATTAAAGGAAGTAAAAAGCTAGACCGTTTGTTATAAAATATAAAATTCTTATAATAGGCAGAGAATAAATAAATAAATATATTGAAAACTCGCTGTTGAGGCCGTACGCTCACTGATCGTCCTGCATTTTCTTCCTTTTAAGATGACATCATAAAGATGGAAAAGAAGAAGAAGACCAACCCAAAAGCAAAACATGGCGGCATGATTAGAGGTGGTACCATTAGAGGTGGTACCATTAGAGGTGGTATGAGAGGTACCACGAGAAGTGGTAACAGAGGTAACATAAGGGGAAATAACGTAAGAGGTAGAAATAATAACAATACCCACAACCGGCAAAATATAAATCAAGCGTTTAATAAACGTGGTCAATGGAAGAAATACCCACAGAAAAGCGTGCACGGAGGATTTGTCAAGAAAAGATTTAACAACACTACCGTTAAGTCTAATTTAACAAGATCTCGAAGTAATTTATCATTGAACAGAATAAACGTAAATAGCTCTAAAAATGTCAGAGGAGGATTTCCGTCTCGTCAAGGTAGCAAGTTTGGTCTTACACGCAGTAGAAGTCGCACAAATTTGGTATTCACGAAGCCAACATTCCAAGCTAAAGCTAAAGGATTTTTAAAAAGAACCAATAGTATGCCTAATTTGCAAGATCCATCGTCAGTTTATAATAGATTGGGTTATCAAAGTCCAGCGCAAGTAGCTTATAGAAACAGAGTTAAAAGAGCAAAGAATGTATCGCTTCAGAGGCATAATAAGGCATTACGTATGCAGAATGCATTTTCGGTAAGAGTACATTTTTATTTTATATTTAGTAAATATTTCTATAAAGAAATGTTATGTCTTATTGATATTATCTTTTTCTCTTTCAAGTTTCCATAGTTTCCATAGTTTCTTTAGCCCTATAATTTTTACATTAAAAATTGCAAAAGCTATCATTGCATTAAATTTATAAAAAAGATTTTTTACTTTATAATAAAATAAATATAGTCGTATAGAAAGTTTAAGATATTTTTGTTTAAATAGAATTTTCTTGCAATTCCGTAATTAAAACTGGAAATTATAGCAAAATTAATTGGCTGTCTTTTCTTTAACTATTAAATTTGGCGTTTCAATTATAAAAATTAAATATTATGTCAGACAGAAGTTAATCCTATGTTTATACATTGCTCTGCGTAAACGTGCACATTAAATTGATAAAATGTTATTGCAGTGATTATTTTATACCCATTTAACATTTGAAATATCTAGTTGTAAATTAATTAATTATTATTGAAATGCATGCTCAAGAAAACAATAAAATAATCAATGTAATTGATAGAAATAATTTGGTGCATATAGTGAGTGTGCGTGTATAATTTTGAGCCGCGCAAAGTTAAAGTTAATTTATAAATAAATGAGACATTCTATTTGACTATATAACGTTTCCAAATCCAAATTAATCCAAATTAATGTTTGGTTTCGAATAAAAAATATTTTTCACATCGTTTGTTCCATCACAAAGACATACTTTCACGAATGTGGTATTTAAGGTGCCGTTTTAGTTAGTTTTTAAATCAATCTCATCCTCTATTACCATAAGCTTCCTAATTAAAATTTTACTAATTGTGTCTTATACATGTTTTACTTATTACATTAATCCTTTTCTGTAGAAGAGCAAAATATTAATTATACACTTTTAGCTGGTACCAACGACAAATATGAAGACAATAGCTATAAATCAAAAGCAACAATCGCCTTCAAGACGTTTCAGTACTGGAAGTTTGCGCTCTGATCAAGTCATGCGAGCACAAAGAAGGGCACAATATGAGCAAAAATTAATGAGAATAGGGTATAGCAATATTTTATCTATGTTTTAATGTTATTTAAAAATGTTATTATTATTATTATTTTTGTTTTTTGCTTTTTTTCTTTTTCTGTTTCTTCATTTTTAAAGTTTAATTGCAACGTGGTCGATTAATTATACAAAATAAAAATAATATTACTTTATATTAATGAAAATAGTTAATAATATGATAAGTAACTTGAGCTGTTCTAATTTTAGCGCTGCACGTGCAAATAATTCCGTTGCTATGTCAATTATGAAGGCGGCCTATGATGTAAATCAAAGACATCCTGCAATGGCTCTTTATCCAACGACGATACAGACTCAGAATCCTGTTGTTTTAACTCCACGTCAGTTGCAACGAGGAAGATCACCTTTTAAACAGAATTTACAAGGCCTTAAAGCTGTAACCAAAACGGTAATCGACTTATTAATAGATTAATTTATAAATTAATTTGTCAATAAAGTGAAGTGCCTGTGTCGTTATAATAAATGTTTAAGTTGAAAATATTGAAAATGAAATTAAGAAATTACATTTGATTGTTGTGTAATGCTTTTACAGTTAATGAGTAAAATGATATAATGATAATGGGAATATTATTTAATATAGATAAGCAGTATCATTGGAATGTTGAAAGTGATAATTCTAAATTATTGATTTTTAATTCTCTTTAAAGTAAACTAGATGAATATTACATAATTAGTAATTATTTAGTATTGTATTAAACAAAGATTACGAACATGTTTGTAAAATACTTATTTAAAAACTAGTTTTATAATTGCTTCATACGTATTGCTTACAAGAAAGTTACAAGAAATCCTTTGATATTATCTATTGAAAATTAAATCTATTATTCTGTACTTTGTGAATCGTGTAAATTCTGCAAACAAATAAATTTGTTAATAGTCTACTAGCTTTTTGTATATTAAATGACATTAACTTAAATCTCACTGACAGAGAACGATTGTTGAGAATGAGAAGAATGACAATGTTGAATAATTAAATAGTGTAGGCAAAGGTTATTTGGACGCTTTTTAAAATGTTTTGCTAAGAAATTAATAAAAACAATTAAGCATTCGTTATGCATTTTACTACGCACACGAATGCGAGTTATTCTATTTAATAATAATAATAAGGAATAGAAAAAATTATTTTAAAGCAATTGAAATCTTGAATTAAAAAAATGCAATTGTAATTTATTATGATTTTATTATTCTTATTTTATGCCTTGCCAAAAGTCTTATAAGATAAAGTAATTGTTTTCAATTTCAAGTAAACAGTAATTTATTGTAACGTAAATAAATAACTTTTACGAATGTGCTTTCATAAAATTTAATTATCAAACAATGTTTTATAATTCTTTTTATTATTATTATTGTTGTTGTTGTTGTTGTTGTTGTTGTTGTTGTTGTTGTTGTTGTTGTTGTTGTTGTTGTTGTTGTTGTTGTTGTTGTTGTTGTTGTTGTTGTTGTTGTTGTTATTGTTGTTATTACTATTGTTATTATTACAATCGAATACTCGAGAGGCGATTTAGAAAATAGAGAGTTCATAATTTCCATTATGGCAATAAGATCTATATCGATCGATTCGTCTTTAAGACTTGCGGCTTGCGTTTGCCGAGTATTATATGATAAGGCTCGAGGTTAAATCGATGATCGAGACAAGAATTTTTATTGCCAACAGGCGGGCAGATCGGCAAGTTACACCCAGAGGCAGCAGAAGCGTGCGAGGTCCAGGTCGCGTTCGCGCGCGCGACCCAATAACAGCATCATCAATCTTACGGACGCAGGCGACCTTGAGGACAGATCGTTCAGCGAGGTCATGTATAGTCTGTCGAACAAGTTCGGCGTAACCGGACGAACACTCAACGACCGTTTCAGCTTGTTCTAGATGGGATATGCCACGAACTGAAATTACAATGATTTTTTTTTTTCAAAAAAAAAAGCTATTTTTTTTTTACTTTTTTTTTTTTATTATTATTTTTTATTATTATTATTATTATTTTACCGAAGATATGTAGTTATCTTAATGGAATTTATGTTTGACATAGAGAAAAGAGGTTTGATTAATTAACGAATTGTTATATTGTAAGTTTTGGCTCGGTATTTCGTTTTTAATAATGCTGTTTACGAACTTCCTTAATACTTGGACTGTGCTCTGTTTATTTTAAAGCGACTTCCTTTTAAGTAACGAAGAAGTTGTCGTAAAATGTATGTTGCAAGATAACAAAGCTAAATTGTCGATAGAAGCTATTGATCGATTCGGAAAACCTTTTTCTTCTGTGCATCAGTCAGTGGGCATTCCGATTTGTCGTCCTTGCCAATGTTGATTTTCCTTAATATCTCGTTGAAATGTAACCTAAAATTCTAAGAGCTTTTTTTTTCTTCAATCTTATAAATTGTGATTTTTATAAATCTAGCAAGAATCGCGAAATTCATCCTTTATTTCAATATAACTATTATTTACTTAAGTTGAGCTATGCCTTTAAGTGTTGTATTTTACATTATGCAAATTAGGAGGACCGTTAAAATTTTTTTCATTTATTCGCAATTATTTCCTCTCTGAAATTCTTGATTATTATTCCTTAGTTTAAATAATTTCAAGCTATTTGAAATAGAATGTGCTATTAGAAGTATTAATAATTATTGGACACTTTCACCCTATTAAACTAATTCGTAATACGATATATCACAATTTTATTATTAATTATCGTTTGGCATTATGGTACAATTTTTTTTTCTTTCCTTTACTTTCTTCTTCTTATTTTTATTTTTTTTTTTTTTTTTTTTTTTTTTTTTTTTTTTTTTTATACACAATACTAACTTGAAACGTTGTTTATATATAAATCGTAATCCTACCGAAATCTTATGTTCACTTGTCATATTTCTTCACGCATTGTTATATTTAGATGTATGCAAAATAAAATTACGAAAGTAGTGGTAAAGAAAAAGGTCTAGAAGCATCTTAAATAATATAATATAAGCTGCCATTTAAATTTCGTACTCGAGCGTTAATATCTTGAGTACGCAAAGCATTATTACTATTATTATTATTACTATTATTATTATTATTATTATTATTATTATTATTATTATTATGTATAATGATTCTACAAGTTAAATTTACATGTAAACACATCGATAGCAAGAAACGAAGCTTTTAGATTTAGATAATGATAAAGTAATGCAACTGATTAATAACTTGTATATCACATTTACCAATGCCATTTTTACAATTTGCGATTTATATTTTTATTGTATAATTGGTAGATAAATATGTCTTTTTTCTTTTTGTATAGGCTTCATATGGTTAAATGAAATTTTATACATTGAGAAAAAATTAAGTATCGTATTTAAATAAGTATAAATAAGATATAGACGTACTCGAGTGAAAAATGAAAAGCAAAAACAATAAAACATTAAAATGAATAAGTTTTATTTTAGAATTTGTAATTATTTTAACGATTTATTACTTCATATTCTCAATTATGAAAACCCAATTTTTAACTATTAAATAATACTTTTAAGTTTATAAATTTAGTTCCTAATTTCTTATTGTAATATATAAATTTTTTCGAATACTTTTTGTATATAAAAACAATCGTCACACAGATACCAACTCACGCACGCGCGCACGCACACACACACACACACACACACATACACCAGAGGAACACGCACACTTACGCACGGACACCTAACCACACGCATTTATATGAGTACTTATATGCAAATATATTATTATTATTATTATTATTATTATTATTATTATTATTATCGATATAATTAACACATAATAAACCTTGTTGCTCATGCAAAATAGGTGTTATATTTAATAAGCGTTTATTTTGCGTCAAGTCCTATTGATTTGTATTTGTTTGTTTTTAAATATTATTTGATCTATTGATTTTTAATAGCTTGTCTCGAAAAGCATGGTGCTATATCTATTGGAAAGCAAAACATTTTGTCAAAAGAATTAAATCGATGTAATTCTATGAAGATTAAAAATGTATTAAAATTGACAATTCGCTTGATATATTTAATTAATCATTAACGACGGACTTCGAAATATATTGAAAATCATAAGTATATTTTCTTGAATTGATTAGGAATAAGTCGTTTTACATTTTTGAAGCCTTTCAATTAGTTATAGATGATTGATTGTACGATACATTAAATAGCCTATTAAATCGAAATATTCTAACGGTTTATATACTTGGAAAAAAAAGAAAAGAAAAAAAAAAATCGTATAAATTAATCGTAATAATTCATAAGAATAAATAAGTCGATAAGTATTTTTTTAATCCGCATAATATTAATGGAGTTCATTCACGAACTTTAATTTGAAAATCCAAAAAAATCACATACGTACACATTGATAATCGCGCGGCATAAGAAGAAAAACAAAAATAAACGATATTTGAACGATTAAACGTGAAATTTTCCAAACGTGCACAAGGGGTTTAGAGTGAGTGTCAGGATCTTGTGTCGAGACTCGATGTCAAATGTCAAAACTAGCTAGGAATAAGGAATATCTTGTTGGCAGGACTTTGATTCTTTAGCGACATCGTTTAACCATTCCCATTGGAATTTTCAATCTGTTGGATTCCCAAATAATGTATTAGCAATAGTTTTCAAATGAAATCGAAGACACAATTTCTAAATGGCCGTGTCGAACGAAATATTTTTGTAAACTCTTTGAACCAGTGTATTATTATATATAATGTCCGCTAATACCGTAAATTCGTGTGACGAACTAGAAATAAAAAAATTGCGTCAAGCTGATGGTCGTTTGTGTCCATAATCTTCGCGATTTCGACTTTGCATTTTCAAACCAGCCAGCTAGAATTTGAAGCAAGCATTCGAAAAACGCAAACGACATTGTGTTAGAATAATTAATCATTGTAATGTAAATGACTCGTCTTACGGCATAGGACCAATGACGGATAGTCGATGGTCATAGGATGAAAAACAGATGTAATAATGCAAATGATGCAGAGAGTCACGTGTGTGCCGTCGTTGTTAGGTGCACCTTCATGGTCGGGATTCAGGTGCGAACGAGTCTCGCAAGTTTGTATTAATTAAAAGGAGACTTTTTAAAGTTGTAGGTAAGGTTGAAATTTTTACGGCGATTGTAACGATATATATAGGACATTCGATTGTTGTTTCGTAAATAAATGTGAGTTTCTTAATAGTAAGCGTACGTTCGTTCATTTATTCGAATCTTACGATCGCGATGCGAACACCATTATTTAATATTAAAAAGAAAAAAAGAGAGAATTGCCTACATTTTTTATTACCAAGTTCTTTATTGCAATGAATTTAAATATTCCGATGTACAAATATTGCTGTAAAATATGAAATACATTCACTCTTTAAAATTACAATGGGCTTGTTCTATTATTTTTAATTGTCGACGAATTTGCATGACACTGAGATTCACGTATTTGTTCTATTTTTATATGACATTATTTTATTAATGGAATAATTAGCGTTATAATTTATAATGTGCGTATAGATGAGGGAGCTGTGATAAAGATTTGTGAATGAGTTTGGTAAGTAAAGCTAATTTTTAGATGAATTTGAAATATCGGATATCGAAGTTTTAAAGTCGAGAATGCCCGTTAAAAAAGTACTATGGCATGACAAAAATTTGCAGAAAATGTTTTCAAAAGCTTGGAATCGTTCGAAAGAACGCCGGTTTTTGTCTGTTTTTATTAATTTTTTTATTATTATTATTATTTTTTTTTTTTTTTTTTTTTCGTTTTAATGAATTTCATCCAATTGTCCCGTAAATAATTGATTTAATGAAGTAGCCTATGATAGAAATGGAGATACTTGATGATTGCAGAGTCTATTAGAATATTTTGACAAGTCGGATGGGCCAAAGGGTCGCGATTGGAATAAGGACATCCTCGGGTAAATATCACGATCTATCCTAAAATCGAGGAGGATCGATTGAATAAAAAAAACTCTTGAATCAGGATAAATTATGGTTGATAATTTTTTTTTCTAAAATCAAGCAAATAAATTCATTTGTGCGCTTGTGAGATGTAGGTAGGTAGCATGAAAAAAAGACGTTTATATTATTATTAATATTTACAGCGTTTAATTTATCAAAATGGCAATGAACAAAATGGCAACCTTGTGATATGAAAATGAATTTCAAAAGGGCAAGCTAATCGACAATATATTTAATATTCTTATTGCTAAGCTAATCTTAATGATTAGCTGATGTAAATAACATTGTCATTTCTCGAAGATTATCATTAAATTTATTCTACTTTTTCATTAAAATAAACGAATCACTTAGAACATATCGCAGCTAATATTGCTTACAATGATATAGTAAAATTAAATAAATAAAAAAAGAATGAAAAAAGATCGAAATATTATTTATCTTATGCAAAGACAAAGTTACATGAATAGGATATAAAAATATAAACTAAATATGTATAACGCCGAGGAAATATAAAAAATTTCATTCTCGAGATAAAAATGCACATATAATTAATGAATTAACTAATTCTTACGAACGGACTCTATATCTATCCGTCTATAAATAGATATTTCGTTCAAAAGAAGCAATATAATACACTCGTCTCATTCCTTGTACGTTATACATTTGTTAATGTACTTATTGGATATTGTTTTATTGGCCCGCTGTGAGCTTATAAATTATAGAACTTGTGGATAGATTGCGATTTTAGCGTCACAATAAATATATCATTAATTACCAATTTTAAACGATGAAATGTAATGTTATATGATTAAAATAGAAAATATTTTGTAGAATTCGATTTTCTGCTAAATGGAAAACTTAATTTGAATCTGTAAAATTAGATCTTGACTGTTTCTTATTTATTATTAATAATATGTGTCGACAATTTTTTTTTTTTTTTTTTAATGTTTTTACGTATATCGTAGCTCTGTTGTGTAATTTTAGTTACTTA